CTCTGCATTCTTTCTCTACCATTGAAAGCCAACTTGATCAAAACAACAGCATTTATGGCATTTTTTGGCGAGAGTATTAACATTTTGAATCACCGCCCACAGAAAATTGGACAAAAATCATGCTCACAAAACAGAAGTTTTGAACCAAAGGGCCCAGAGACACTCAAATCATCGCTCGGTCTTGCTGGAAACCAACGAATATAAATTAATATATAGATTTAGCCAGGGCTAAAAAGCGAAGTTCCCATTAATAAATATATAACTTAAATCAAACAATAAACTTGTAAACCACAAATCAGTTAACTTAAAGGCACACCGATGTGCCTTTTGAGGGAAAAGCGAAGTGATTTTAGAGTGAAACATCTCACATCGAGTTGACTTATGTGTTCACCCAAAAAATGGCAATCATCTTCGATCACATTCAAGAGCCATAACGGCTCTTGATCACAGTAGATTAGGCCTGGAAAACAAATCAGGCCGAATCTTTTACGTTCGATAAGCTTACTTTACAAAATCTTGCCAACAAAACTGGAGGTGTGTAAACCAACCTTTTATACTTTTTATACATCACATCTGAGGTGAAACAGTACTGTGAGACGCCGTATTTTCATACAGACCTCGGACAGAATGCAGTATCTCACTGTTTTTCAAGACAAACTGCACTCAGTCAATATTCAGGACGATCAATCGTTGGCTTTTAGCGAAACCGTTCAAAAAATTTCCAAAATCACCTATACGGCCAGCCGGTTCTCACTTTTGACAAGCGGTCGAGTGTGTGAATGAACGTTAATAGAATTACGCTTACACATAATAACGAATTTATTATCTTAATTTTTTATATTTAATGGCTTTATAACGATGTGTAATCTTGAAAAGCGTTTGATACGCGCGGCTTCCCGGTGTTTGCTTTTTTCAAAGATGAACTCGAGGCAAGAAAATCGCTCAAAGTTTTCTTTCTACAGGCAAATTTATAACTAAATATTGTTTGGAACGTTTGCTTTCTATTTGCGGTGAGGAAATATATCTAAAGGCTTTTTAAAGTTCTGTAAGCTTATATCAAACCTGATATTAGGTCAGATCATTGTCTCAAATCTTACAAACGTGCATAATTAATTTGGCGCATAAACTGTGCTCGCCTTCATGAGGTTAGATATAAAAAAACAAACGTCAGATACAATAATTATTCAGGCTTACCATTCGCGATGCAGCTCCTGAAAGCTATCAAGTAAGGCCGGAATCGCTTGAGACTTCTATCTCCTCTTACGTATCAAGCAAGGTGAAAAACGAAAACGACGCCATTCGAAATCGGATTTCCGACTTTGACAAGCGACGCATTTCTCAACCAAAAACCCAATAAACAAACCAGCCATGAATAACAGAAGACTCTTGATAGCAGCTGTATTTCATTTTGTACATCCAGTGGAAAAATACATTAAAAAACATCACAAGTTGACACAAAACTCTGTCAGCTTCAGCTGTCAAAGTAAACAAGTTTCAAGATGCTGCATAAATTTTCCGCATGAACTCACCTGTCAAATTTTGACCAATCAGAGCGTAAAAATTGGACGTAGAACGTAGCCAAAGCGTGACCATGGTAAGAAAAGGTCTTCCTCGCCGGTATTTTTAAATAACTGGCTGAATTTTCGTGTCCGAGATAAGTTTGAAATCAAAATCTTAATAGTGCTGGGCGATAGTGACATAAACACGACATATTTCATATAAATTATTAAAAAACAAACTTGAACCTGCGATCATTTGAAAACTAGTAACTTGTCAGCGGATAACTTCAAAAAAATACTCGACCTCGATGGGTCGACACCTGAGCCCGCGATACGGTCATGTGATACTGGTCAGCAGATACCCTGTTTTGACAGCTGTCAATTGATCACAACATTGATGTGCAATCAGTTTGCGCCTGGGCTCCCAAACTAGCTAGAAAGTGCGAGAGTAAACATTGGTATGCCTGTGGTGCGGACGGACGGTCGTACGTTCGTTCGGTGTACGGTCACGTGATAACCAAATTTTCTGGGATGGGTAGATTTACTTAGCTATGGGGCTTCGCGCGCGCGTGGAGCTCCGCTATCATTGAAAAAATCGTGTTCCTTTAGATCGTGTGTACGACTGAAAGAATCAAGTTTAGGCTTTCTCGAGGAATGTCATTTTCACTTCCGTTTTGAACTGAAGCATGCGCACTAAGACCGGATTCCCAAGTTTTCTGCGGATGCAAATTCCATTTTACCAGAGTCTTCGCCGGCGTTGCCCCGCTGACCAGAAAGCCCGAAGACTCTGGGTACGAGGTTGAGGGTGAGCTTGGGAAATGAGCCCGCGCTAAGAGAATGTCGGCTCTTTGCTCTTCCCAAGCTCTCTCGGTTGACCCGAAGCGTCACGAACTCTCACCCTCACGAAAGTTAGTATCTCATGTAAGACTCCATAATATGTCTCCTTAATTCCCCTGTTTTCCTGTGTTTTCCTCTGTTTCTGTATGTTTTCCCCTGTTTTAATCCCCTGTTTTCCTCTGTTTTCCTATGTTTCCCCTGAAAAACAGGGGAAAACAAAGGAATACAGGAAAAACATAGGAAAACAGGGAAAGCTCAGGAAAACAAGAGAAAAGAGGGAAAAACAAATGGGAAACAAGGGAAAACAGAAGGAAACGTAGGAAAACAGGAAAAACATAGGAAAATAAGAGAAAACAGGGAAAACCAGATGAAAACAAGGGAAAACAGACGGAACCATAACAAACCTGTTGAAAACAGAGGAAAACATCGGAAAACATAGATAAACAAGGGAACACAGCGAAAAAACATAGGAAAACAAGGGAAAACAGGGGGAAACATTGGAAAACAGGGAAAAACATAGGAAAATAAGAGAAAACAGGGAAAACAGATGAAAACAAGGGAAAACAGACGGAAACATAGGAAACCTGTTGAAAACAGAGGAAAACAGGGGAAAACATAGATAAACAAGGGAACACAGCGAAAAAACATAGGAAAACAAGGGAAAACAGGGGGAAACATTGGAAAACAGGGAAAAACATAGGAAAACGGGTGGAAACAGAGAAAAACGGGGGAAACATACTAAAACAAGGGAAAACATAGGAAAACAGCGAAAACATAGAAAAACAAGGGGAAACTTAAGAAAACAGGGGAAAATTAGGAAAACATAGGAAAACAGGGAAAAACTTAGGAAAACATAGGTAAACATGGGAAAACATAGGACAACAAGGAAAACATAGAAAAACAGGGGAAACATAGGAAAAAAGGGGAAAACGCAGGAAAACATAGGTAAACATGGGAAAACATAGCTACCTGAAGTTATGTAATTTTTCTCAACTTCCCCTGTCTAATAGCTTGTTTACTGTGTTGTTTGCTTATGTCGTTTTTGGTTTTTTTTGGCTTGTCTTGTGGTTAGGAATTTGTGTAGAATTAGATGTAGACAGAATTACTATCTTAACCCCCCTCCCTCCCTATTTTTTCCCTACCCACAATTCTTTCTTTAACACAAGTGACAGTTATCAGTTTGAAATCAGCGAGCGCCTCAAGCTGGTTTCGGTGCCGTTTAGCAGTTTAGTTTTATATATTGGCCACCTCTAGAAAAGTTTCCCGGAGAGCATCATGTAAAGCTCTTACATGGGACAAAAGTAATTACGATTCGCAGAGTAGGCAAGGTCCAATATCGTATTATATTCTCGTTTCATTTGGCTCAACGGATCAATCACCCTGATCCGGGCTGAGACAGAAAGGTACGATATTGTTTGCTTTTCTAAGGTGACCACTAAGTGTTTGGCCTCGGAAACAGGCCAAGTAGTAGAATGAGTTGGTATTTTTGCTAACCCGGTTTTCAAAAATCCAGGTATATAGGAAAACAAGGAAAACTTAGAAAAACAGGGGAAAACATAGGAAAACAGGGAAACCTCGTAGGAAAACATGGGAAGCAGGAGAAAACTAGGAAACATAGAGAAAAACAGGGGGGAACATAGAAAAACAGGGGGAAACAGGGAAAAATAGAGGAAAACAGGGGAAAACATGGTGAAACATAGAAAAACAAGGAAAAACAGGTAAAAACATAGTAAAACAGAGGGAAACAGGGAAAAGCATAGGAAAACAAGAGAAAACAGAGGAAAACAGGCGAAAACACAGGAAAACAGGAAAAAAGGCGAAACAACAAGTAATATTCTTAACATTCTTTATATTCGGGACATGTTGAACGCCTTCCATTATGCTAAAATTTCCGGAAATTTCGATCGAAACGTAAATGGAACGGTTTGGACCAGGTGGAAATTTTCCGGTCAAAGTGGTTCACCTCCCGAGGTGGTCCTCTTTGACCGGTCGTTCCGGTCCGACCGAAAGTCAGAAATTTTCGTTTCCAGTTTCGCTCCAGCTCGTCACCACGGTGAAAATGGCGGATGGTTCAGATGAAAGTGTTTACGAGTGGAGTGTGTGTAAGCTTCAGACGCAAGACGTAAACTTTCTCCTTATGCACAGTTGTACACAAGGCTCAGGTACAGCAGTGCATCTTAATTTGTTTCTTCTTCTGGTTTTCGTCAGTTTTTAAAGACAAATATATTACCGGCTTCTCCGAGTGTTGGCGATGTTTTCCCGCGTTTTTCTCTTAGCAGTATGTGACCCTAGCCCTTACGGCTTTGACAGTCAGTGCGAAAAAAATCCACAGCTTATTCCAACAACGTCCACTAGTTCGACCAAAGCCCTGGAAAGATGGGAGGACAAACACGTCCGTTTACTTATTGCAAGCTACATGAAGTTCAAAGACAAATTTGGGAAGTCACACATTACCCAACCATTAATTCGGTCGGACTTTTGGTTCGGACGCGTTCCATTTTCCCTTGGTGACCTTGGTTAGTCCGAGTGGTGTCGGACCGGTCGGTCCGGTATAATGTGAAGCACCCATTATGGAGTCTTACATGAGACACTGACCCTCACGAACAAATTCTAGTCCAGCGTGACATAGATTGGACTAGACCAAATTGAAATTAACGAACTAAAATGGGTCTGTTGTCGGTGGAGGTTACTTTTCTGGTACTGTTGACCGGATCACAGGGGATGTCTGCAACGTGCATGGAACGGGAAGAGCATATACTTCGCTATTTAATTTCATCACAGCCGCCATATGATAACTACTACAATATTTCTAAAGCTGTTTATCCGTCTGTGGATTTGCCTTCTTTGCTAATCAAGATCACTGTTACGTTCCTAAATGGCAGCAGCAATCTCACTCATTTAGCCGGATCCTCCCGATCTCCGATCAACGGTAGTACTTCAAACATCTCACAGACAGGGAAAAATGTCCACGAAAATATTACGACATACAAGTTCACGTGGAGTGCATCCTGTTTGTATGTCGGTGGAGGAAACATAAGCTTGACTTCCATGAATGTGTTTTCTTTGTGGGCTATTTATCCAAACAGGCGAGAAAGACAGCTACACTTAACATTGCCACAGTTCTGCAGGGGATTTTCTGCTGACACCATGATCTACTTCCTTTCTACGGTAGGACTTTTAGCCATTTCATTATTGTTGTTAACTTACCACCATCATCATCATCACAAACATCATCATCATTATCATTAAGGGCTGGAGGAACATACTGAGGTGCAATCAAAGCAGCAGTGATTACCCTTTTTGTTTTTAAGAACTGATTTTCTTCTACATTTCCCTTAAGTGATCTCCTGGAGATAGAGATGTCTTTCCCCTCACCTGACCCCTGTCTAACTTGCCTTCTCAAAAATAGCTGATACAGATATAGCTTACACTTCAAAATTTTTCAATTCATACTGTAAAATATTATGCATTTTCAAATCATAAATCTGTCTCAGTGAATGCCTTAAAATATTAGTGGCACTGGTGTCCTTTGTATGGAAACATAGAATATTGAGCCTCTCTGTGGGTACCAATGGAAGTCATTTTCATCGCACGACCAATCAGAAGCAGTTTAGACAGATCTGGGTGGTTACACATCATTAGTATGAAATTGCTGTGGTTGTTCCTCAGGTGTCATTTCGTGAGGAAACCACTGGTGGTGTCCTGATAATAGAAAGATTTAGAGTCACATTAATGGCAAACAGCAAACATGAATTTGTTCATGTACCACATGACCAAGTTTTCCCTTAACCTCTGCTTTACTGTTCATTATTGCTAACCCAAAATTAGTAGCTTCACATTAGTTTTGTTTATGGCAATTGTTTTCAGCAGTTTTCAGCTTGTCATTTCTGTTTTGTGGAATTCTCAACATTTTCCATTTGCCGTAAACATCACTCAAATTTCTCTAAATATCGTTAAGGGCAAACACGACTCATAAGCTTGTGATGATGTGAAACATGACCTTGGAATTTGTTGGAACAACAGGTTTTCCCTCTTTTCTTTCCCCCTGCTGTGTTTGGACATAAAAACTAATTTTGAATGAGCTAATCTTACTTTTGCCGCACTGAGTCTTACATTATTGAAGGTGATTCATGCCCTTGCTTGTGGGCGTAGGTGGCCAGAAGAGCCAGAACAACGGACTGGTAACAGGTACTTTATTTTTCTCCTCCCGTCACCACTCGCCTCATGCAAAATGCCACGTTCGCCTCACTTGGCTCATAAAGCACCTGATATGGAGGCTAGGGCAGCATCATTAGTATCAGTATCATCAGTAGTAGCAGCAGCAGCAGTAAGTAGTACATACCCAGTAGCAACAGCAGTAGCAGCACAGTAGGAGGAAGAACAGCCACAGTAGCGGAAACAGCAGCAGTAGTAGTTTTTGTCGTTATTTTGGTTTTGTCATTTTTCAAGATTTTAGGCAAGTGTTTGAGAGTGTTTGTTTTAGTAATGCTGTTCTTGATTTGATTTGCAGTTGCAGGACATAGCTATATCGCCAAATAATCCTGATCCTAGTCTAAACACAGTAGAGTGTGTTACCACTGGTCATGGGAAAGCTCCACCATTTCCTGATTGGAAGAATCTGCTTCATGAAGTGTGCTGGTACATTCTGTTCATAAGTTTGTTATTCAGTCAAGTTGCTTCCCAGTGGCTTATAGTGCAGCTAAGGGAGTGGAAGATTAAAACGTATAGCAGCGATGTTGAAGCAGAGAAAAGGAAAAATGACAGCCAAGTTGCAGCTGTAATGTTGTTATCTATCGTTGTTTTTATTACCGGACTTTCCTCTATTTTTTTTGCCTGGAGTCGTTCCACTCCTAAGCAAGATTATTACGTGTGGGCATTCTTCATATCTGCGATTCTTGTACTTGCGCGGAGGGCACTTTGGTGTTTCTTACGTATCTATAAAAGCGATAATATTGATCTATACAAGTTGAGCTTAACTAAGGGCCATGAGAGTGACCCAAGCGGAAATGTTATTTCCTTCTTCACACTTTACCCAGCAATATTCATGGCTTGCCATCATTTCCTGTGGATATTGCTGGGCGTCATTACAGAACCATTTTGGGGTATTTCAGTTTTAGTGGTTGTCATTTCTGTTTCTGCTATTCTCGTTTTCTTTTTTTATGATTTTTACGAATATTATCTTTCCCATGAATGTATTGACCGCGAGTGTGAAAGATGTTCTGCACGTAGAGGCCGGCGACGTGAGTACTGGTTTCCGTTTTTTATGTCGCTATTTCTTGTTCTAGGAAGTTGCGTTGCATCTGTACTCTTAATAATTGTTCTGTTAGTAGTTGCACAGTCGTTCCTTAGTGAGAGCCTTGTTTCCACGTTAGTTCAAAATGGTTTGGTGTTTTTCTCAACTTTGTGGCTTGGATATCTGAAGCTACATCAAGCAAAGAAACCGGCAGAAACCAGGGACGATGGTAATGGAGGAAATTCGAACCAGTCCGGTCAACCCAATGGTTATGAACTTGTAGAGATTCAGGTGCAATAGAGACCTTAAACAGCAAACCACGGTTTGTGGTTAGCAGCTTCAAGATAGCCGTTTGCCTAGATTCGCGGGCGGTAGCTCGCGGCAGCCTTTTTTTGTTTTCATTCATTTGGTGCCTTCTCGATGCCTTCTATTTTAGCTGAGAAATTACGTTCAAATGTAAAAAAATCGATAGTTGATAAGAAAAAGATTTCTAAAACGTAGTATATCCTCTCAAACTTGAACTTGTAATGTTTTAGGGTGCAAAAAAACCTTGCGTCAAATCGCTTACCTCCAGAGCGTGGTATAGCTGTACAAACGTGAAGCTCAAAATCTACCCAAGTGGTGCTGGTGGGGGGTTACTCCGGATTTCAAGTAACGGGGATGGTCGAATGGGGGCAAAAATCCCATGCTAAGTTTCCGAGCCTTGAAAATTTCCAGAAATAGTTGAATGATATAACCCAAAAAAATCTTCAGATTGTTTTGACTAAAAAAAAAACCTAAATCAATCAAGCCACCCGAACACAAAATACTCCAGCAGAGTTATGAAGAATTTATAAAACAAATTTCATCAGCGTGCATTAACCATTAAATTTGCTAGTGATTTTTGCACGCATGATATTAAAACTTTGAAAAGTTGGCCCATTTTTTTCAAGTTTCAATCCATGTCCGTTCCACATTGCCACACGTAGCAACAGACAACGGGAAAACAGTTTTAATGACTAAAAATTGATTCGATATCACGTTTTAGATTTTAAAAAGATGGCATGCGCAAATAATTTGACAGAGCCCCTTCTAATAATTGCGAACTGATTCAATGTGTTGTTAAACTATTATAAGACTCGCAACCAAAACTCAGACTCGTTCACGTGCAAACTCAGTTCCCTAACCCAGTGAGTGATATTCGGTAAAGTGCGTCCGTATGCCATTAAGCTTATACAGTTAAGCCGCGGCGCGTACAGTGACCTCGTTTATGCGGCCCATATAAATCGAGGTGGCATCAAGGGAGTGTAAAAAACTAAAGAGCTAGAACCCAAAACGAAGTTCCCTCTCAAAATCATTTGAAACAGCTCCACTCGGCTATGTCAACCTGAGATGTGAAGGAAACCCATGATCTTTAATTATCAATGAATTTGACTAGGCTCTTCGTTTTCTACAACCTTCCCCCCCTTTCCCTCCATATATCACTTGGAAGTGGTGTCACGAAGGGTTTGATCGTATTGGGTGCGCGCGGAAACAATCTCGGAACTTTGCGCGAAAGTTGGATTCCCCAGTATATTTTCAGTGAAATAGCAGTGGCGGATCCAGGGCAGGTCCCCCCCCCAACTCCCCTAGGTTTAGACCACAAACTGAGGCCCGAAGGGCCGCAAAAAGTTTTTTGAGACCCGGCGACCGCCTTATCTCAGGGTCTGGATAACCGCTCCGCCCCCTCCCCCCCCCGCCCCCCATATCTGAAGGTCTGGATCCGCCACTGAATAGTAACTGATTCACATTCGCATAATAGCCACCCTATGCCTGTTGATGGATAAGTTATGGGTGACAAATTTTTCCCGAGACAAGGGGTGCTTAAGACTCATCCAAAAGACGGAGATTGATTGCCAGAATACTTTATTAAGTTTCAGTGTATCCAAATCCTCCCGAAACTCAGAAAAACTCGGAAAAACTCTTACGCGTAAAAAGCATGGCGTCACGGAAAAGCTAAACGACAGCCGGCAAGGTTGTCATGGAAACGGAAGGTTTCTGCTATGATTGTGGCCTTGGGAGCCGTGTTTTTGTCGACGGCTGAGGTGCTTTGGGCAAGCATGTCAGCCACTTTGTTAACACCAAGGACCTTGTCGGTTTGCATATAATACTTAGCGGTCTGGGTAGATTTCCAGCCGATGTGCGTTGTGATTTGTTCCATAGACGCTCCGATCATGGAGAGAGTGATAGAGCAACCACGGCGGAGGCTGTGCATCGTTTCTCCTTCAGCTATACCGAGCGCGGTAAGATAGGTATGAAGTCGGGCGGCGGCAGTGGATCCAACAAAGAGGTTAGTGGAAACTCGACCGTGCTTATCTGTCGATCTGAAAAGGTAGCCGTCACACAAGTCTACTGCCATGCTTTTAGACAGGTGAAAATATCGCGAAAGATTGGCAACGGGACATAAGTGATCGTCCTGGTATTCCTTTATTGCAAAAGTTTTATAGTCCTTACCACGCAAGGTTTTCCCCGCAGTTTGCCTGAAAAGGAAGCCTTGACCATCAGGGAGAAGGAGCACTTCTTTGGTTAGAGTTCGACCTAAATCTGAACCTCGATCACCGGAAAAAAAATCTACACAGAAGAAAGCTGCGTCTCGTGCGAAGATATACCGCTGGACGGGTGGAACTTTACTGGGTGAAAAGGCCTCAGAGATGAGGTGACGAATGAGTTTGGACAGTTTGTCGAAAAACAGAGGAAGGGCCTGTTTGGAGCTTACATTTGCCGCTGCCTGCTCCTTGGTTATGAAATGTAGGTACTCCTTAACAGACTTGTAGCACGCAGGATTTCCGCTCCCGAAAAGGTCGTTCCAAGGTCCGTTTCTTCTAGTACTCGTGAAAATCGCCCTAAGTTTGCCAATAATGTTATCAACTGTTCCAGCGGGGAGACGAGTGGGGCACTTGCAAAGCGTTTAGAGTGGGACCCAAAAAGTGGGCACTGGGGTACGTGGACTTTAGTTTTCCCTTTCCCGTCTTTCCAAACAAGAAAACGTGTGAGGTCGTGGGGCGTGGCTGATTGAAGAGTTTTGGAGGAGGGAAGAGATCCAAGAAATGTTTCCAATTTCTTTTTCAATGCAGATTTCTGTCGTTCGTAGGGTAGCGACTTCCGCTGGGCTCGGATGGATGCGAGGCGTTTGTCAACAGAGGATAAGTCTATTTTCAACTTCGTATAAGCAGGGGTAAGCGTATTGGTGGATCGTTTGTAACCACAACGTTGGCAAAAAGAGAAGTCCGCGTCATTTGGGTATTGCATTCCGGACATTGGACCGAAGGACACCAGAGGCGAGGTACTACAGGAAGAGGCTGTGGAAGGAGACAAGAAGGAGCAATCAGCTGACAGATAAACGGAAGACTCAAATATTCCATTGTAAAGGGCGTGGAGTGAAGGCGCCATGGAAGTGAAGATCTGGGAAAAGAAAAATGTCTGTCTGGCCCTTGGGAGCGACTTTAAAGTAGCTGGACGCTTTTTTTCGGAGAATTGGCCACCAATACTGACGAGGTCGAAGATCCGGAGTAATAATAGTGAGGGAGCAGGGCACAGGAGAGAGGAACTTGATTCGAGGAGTGGACCCATGAGGACGAAGGGTGGGAAGGCGTAAGCATTTTCAGATGGACTGATGGTCTGCGCGAAAACGTTAACACCGGAACAACCTGGGTTGGGGAAGGGCGCATAGAAGCGAAGCGGATTTCCCTGCTGATCGCATTGAACATTGGAGGCGAAGGCAAACAGGTCAAGTGTAAGAGGTCCGTAGGATTGTTGTACTAGTTTCCAAGCCAGCGGACTGAGTTTGCAATCGGTGTAGGATAAAGCGCGCAACGGCAGATCGGCCGGATTAAGAGCTGAAGGCACGAAACAAACTTTTAAGGCCACGTTAAGCCGGAGGCTGAGTTGAAAGATTGCAGGACCTGAGAAAGAGCGGGCGTTCTTGAAACTTATTCCAAGAGGATACAACAACTTTATTATCAACGAAGCAGTCTAGTCTGGAATTGACGATGGCGTGGTTAAGGCTCTCTAAGGTAAACAATATAGCCTTGGCCTCTCTAATGTGGCGATAGGGAGATCGCGGAGCTCTCTTCCCAGTAACCCCTAAGATGTTGTTCCTCTTTACCGGGTATCCTGACAACGACTCCCAACCGATGTTAGAGGCGTCCGAAAAAATTGTAACAGAAGTATGTCTCTCGTCTTTCCAAGGAAGGAAACCGTCTCAGGAATCGAGGAACTTCAAGTGGAGAAGTTCAGCCTTGAGGCCGCGGAAACTGGAATTGGTTTGTGAAATCGGCTTGCCTTAGAGATCGCTTGGTAGGCTGCGTTGGAGTAAAGCTTTGCACCGGGAACGAGGAGCGAAAAGGAGGTTGTTTTGCCAGCGAACTTCTGTAAAGTCTTGAGTGCAACAGTCTTATGAGATAAAATGTTGTCCCGAAGGGCAACAAATATATGAACTTTATCGGGGGGTAACGTGAAGGCTTGCTTGTCTGATTCAGAGAAATACGCAAGGTACTTGACTTTTAGGGAGGGTACGAGGGAGCATTTCTTAAGACCGAGGAAATATCTCAATTGAAGAAGGATGGAGCAGGCGATGAAAGTTGCTATCTCTGATAACTGGTAATTCGAGTATTTATAAGAAGAAGGACGAAGGGTGCGTAGCTGGCCAATGTGTTTGTCGTCAATGTAGTTAGAAGAGGGGACGCCCATGGATCTAATATGGCTTGTGGCGGCCATACCAATAGTGTGATATATATGGGCACTAGCTTTCCAGCCGAACGGAAGAGTAGCGTACCCGAAGTAAAATCCCTTCCACTCTAAACCAAAAAATGTTCTGCTATGAGGGTGAAGGGGAACGTGGTCGTAACCACTTTTGTCGTCTATGGTAGTTTGAAAATGGTTAATTCCAACCTAGCGAGGAAGGTCAGTAATATAATCGAGAGAGAAGGGACAATCCTTTATCCATAAATTGAGGAAGCGTTTGTCATGGCACATGCGCAGTTTGGTTGGTTCTACTGTAATAGGCATTACTAGGTGAGGGGGATCGACAGCACCGACCTCTTCAAGGACTAAGAGGGAGCCCTTGGAAACGCGCTTTACAATACAGGAAGAGATAAATTTTTTCGAAATCCAAGCATCTTCGCGCATTAGCAAAGGTTACCCTAGGGGGAAACGACGAATCATAACTTCTTCCCTGGTAGTTGCCTTTGAAATGGACAAAGAAGTCTCTAATGTCAACTCCGAAGGAAAGGTAATCATAGAGCTCGTCGGCTTTAGGATGTCCTTTTAAGATAGTCTCCCAAGCGGAAAGATAAATTCTGAGATTTCCTGCCATGAAGTGATTCGATTCTCTAAAAGGGAGTTTGGTAGGGTTGGCGTAATGCTGTCCAGATGCGACGGATTCGATCGAGGGGAGTAGCCCTGCCCAGCTGTGGGGCTTTCCCTCCCAGTTACACCAAACCGTAGCCGTAGGGTGACTTGCAGCACCTTTAATCCGGTTTGAGAAATCCGAGTGGGAGAGGATCTAAAAGGAAGGAAAGATCCTGCGTGAGAGGGAGGCTGGGAGGGAACCTTACAGCTGTGTCGAGCCAGGAAACCGTTCGGAGACTGGAAAAGGGGTGTGTTTGGGACCCCCCCCCCCCCTGAAAACGACTCAAGTGTGGGTCTGGAGAAAGGAAGTGTACACCAAAGAAAAATAAAATATTTATGAAACACATGTTTATTATTCAGGCTGTGAGTACAGGCAACGTGGTTACAGAATCTATTATCTCTCGGAGTCACGGCCCCTTCTGGCTCTGCAATTGCGGGCTATGTGGCCTCTCAGGCCACAAGCGTAACAGGTGATGACATATGGACGAGCTCTGGCCGGAGGGCGTTGGCCGTTGAAGACCTGACTACTTAAAAGCGGGAGGCTAAATGGGTTACTTTCAGTAGCCTTCTCTATCTCCCTCGCTGTGGCAATTTCTTCTTTAGTTCCAAGGAGCTTCAAGAGTATTCGCTGGATGAGCTTGGTGTCCAAAAAGGCCTCTGGTTTGCTTAAGGATGGCATTGTATCTTGGAGCATGTTCGTCACCATTTTCCCGAGCGGTGTCGGATAAATGCTCTAAAGCTGCCATGGCCCAGTGAACGTCAAACACACCGGGGGTACGGGACAGAAGTTGTCGAAGATTCTAAGGGGCTTGGTTAACGGTATTTTCGGGAATTTTTGACTTCACCGCTTCTATCTCTCCCTTAACCTCGTCTACAACATCCGGGGCAGCCTGGGGGATAAACAAAATGGTAAAAGGGCATAGGGAAACTGAAATAGGTCATGGATATGAATGAGATGAACGGCAATTACTATTGAATAGTGTAGATGGGTGAGGCAAGGCGACCTATGGGAGCATAATATGCGCATGAAATGCTCCCGTTGCAAAGGGAAGTACATAATTTATTGAAACGCATGAAATTCCATAAACAAAAAACAACTGTGTAAAGTAACGATTGTACTTTAGGGAGAAACACATCCTATAGAAATAAGTGTAATGAGCGGGAATAACAAGAATTGTGAAATTTATGGATAAGAAATATAAAAGGTGGGAGATCTGTAGAGAACAGTCGGGGGTGCAAGGCGTATGTTGACAATACAATGCGTTGAAAATTTGCAGACGGGAAAAACAAACTACTGGCAGCCCGATTTGATCTTACAATACTTATGTGAAATACGCCGTAAAGGATAAAAGACTCTAGAAATAAAATACACAATACCGACGCTGAAGGGTCCACGTAATGTCGTTTTCTTCATTGTACATGTCACAGACGCCAAAGGGCGCCAACGTAATTAAATACATTCCAATTTACAGTGCCGCTTTGGGGCTGAGATCCTCCTTTACGTTTGACAAACACTAAATAGCGCCAAAGTAATGCCTTTCTCTTCATTGTACGTTTCACAGACGCCAAAAGGCGCCAACGTAATTAAATACATTCCACTTAACTGCACTGTTTGAGGTCCTCTTTTATGTTTCACAGACGCAAGGAAGCGCCAACGTAATATGTCCCGACTCGTTCTACATTAACGGACGCAAAGAACACGACAATAAATAAAGCTAAGGTCGCTTTTCCTCTGGTACGTTGCACCGACGCCTAACAGCGCCAACGTAAACAACCTCCACAACAGAATGGGGATTAATATAGACAATAAAATGACAAGAAAAGGGGAAGGGATAAAAAGTAATAAAAACACGATACCTCAACTGGTGGTGCTGGTACCGGTTCATATTCTGCTCTGGGTTTTGAAGGAGCAATAGCGGCCACAGCTGCTGGTTCAGGTTCGACGAGAACATGAGCCATGAAAAAAGCTTCAGTGGCGCTGGCTAAAGTTGTTGAGGAATAAGACTTGTATGCCCATTGTTGAGTAGACTTGCGAGAAGAGAGCGAATTTGTTTTCAAGGGCGTATAAAAGGCCTAGAGAATTTCCCTGGGAAACAAATAGGGCCAATAGAGTGCCTTATGAGGGAGCACGCAGTTGTTTAGTTGATAAAATCGTCATGCGGCGGCGTTTACGCGAATGAGAATAGTGATTAGAGCTAGGCACTGATTAGGGTTAAGCACTCACTCGGGTTTGGTTAGCCTTCATTTATTGTTAGGGCTGACACCATAAATATCTAAATCAAACCTTCTCTGAGCAGCAATTCTACCGTGGTCTAATGGTTAGGGAAAACCTACAAGAAGTACGAAAAACGAGCCTTTAGGATTGAAATATCTACTTTTGTGCGTTTCGAAATTAAAAGTGCTTACAATTACCGCCGGCCTACCATGAAAATTTCTGAACTTCGATGGTGTCTCACAGAGTTTTCCTTCACTAAGCCAAGCCAATTCCCAGGTATGTCTTAAATAAATGTGTGATTTGAATAGCATAAAGAGAATTTGGAGTTATACTACATGTTAAATATTACCTTCGAAAATGAGTACCGAATTTGAGT